AGATCATATTGATTGTTTGATGCGAGGGATCTTCTCCTGCTTTCGAGAGTTCCGCGTTATCCCGGTTATGACCATAATTGTTCTTAGCTCGATCACTCAAGAATTCTCTAAGGTGACCATTCTTCAATAATGTTGCCACTTCTTCCCGGAGGTGTCGACGGCTCCCTGTCCGGTGGCCATTCGTCCCATGGTATTCACACCACAAGTTGGGATCCCTCTAGCTGGGATCAGATCTAATCGATTTCGGGAACCGTGCTTCTTTGATGTTTCTCATGGCCGACACCAACTCCATTATACTGACGTTCAAGTTATATACCGATAACTTGGGGTAAGAAGGATCCCGTGACCCTAACGCTTCTTTATACTGCAGTGATCAATTGTTCTGACCGCGATCAGTCCTTCTGTCAAGGGCGAACCTGTCCGCTGTCCGGAAACCTCTACTGCGGCCTTAGGTCCGTTCGTAGGGCAAAAACCGACACTTCGAGGTCCGTCTGTCCGCGTCATAATCATCCTTTGATTTTTCTCTGTTCTTTTCTCGTCATTTGGTCGACGACAGAAAACCAACTTGATCATCTTCGATCCTTATATTTGATTCATACCGATTATGGACATCCGCCCAGGTCATTGCTTGAAACTCGAGTAGGCTTTCCTTAAATTTCAGGGAAGCGTCTAAACTCCTTGGATTCAATTCCTTGGTGAATGCTTCAGCCGCCCATTCATCCGGGACAGCCAGGAGCAATATTCTCTCCTTTTGCAATCGGGTAACGAACTCTCAAAGCAGCTCGAACTCTCCTTGCACAATCCTGAATATGTCGGCCTTTTGGGCCTGTACTTTTCTATCCCCGGCATGAGCCTTGATGAAAGAATCCGCGAGCATTTCAAAGGAGTCTATGGAATGCTCGGGTAACAGCGAATACCACGTCAAGGCTCCCCTCGTGAGCGTTTCTCCAAATTTCTTTAGCAACACAGATACAATTATGTAAGGAGCTAAATCATTTCCCTTTACCGTTGTTGTGTAGGTGGTAATATGCTCCTGGGGGTCTGAAGTTCCGTCATACTTTGGCACGTCAAGCATTTTGAACTGCTTCGGGATTAACTCGGTGCCACACTTGGCTTGTATGACAATTCAATATACTTTTTTGAGTCAGGACCTTTCAGCACTAGTGGCGCACCGGGGATTTGGTCGATGCGAGCGTTCACTTCCCTCATAAACCGTAAAAGTTCATTCTTGAAAGGATCATTCTCGTCATTGAGGCCGGATCCGCTCCCCCTCACCCATCAGAGCCAATTTCACCCCTGGGAGTGTTGTTGTTGACTCTCTGCGTTGTTTGATTCGCGGGAGCCCTGGTAGGAATCAGATCTCGTCTGTTTGCATTAATTGGAGCTCCTGGCAGTGCCTGCTTCAACTCCGTCATAACCTTATCCTGTCGCGTGAGGTGCCCCAGAATGATCGCATGTTACTCTTGCAAGACTCTTACCATGTCAATGACATGTTCCTCATCAGCATCATCGGGAATTGTTTCTCGAACATGTTGAGGATACTCCATGTCATGCACCAGTATGTCGCCATTCGGCACATTATGAGTGTCACTGATTGAATCCTCGAATTGAGGATGATCCCCCCGAATCTCGGGGTTGTGCATGTTGTTAACAGTGTTATCTGCTATTTTTATGATTCTTTTCTAAGACAAAATAATCAAAACACGTTAGTAAAAAAAGTAAGGATCAATTTAATTACACGACTGTCTAGGCTCTACGGTGGGCGCAAAATATTTTACCTGTAAAACGGTACAGTTGAATTTATACGTGGTTTCTAGACAAATGAATTAATTTAATTCTGAAATAATAAAATAATCGAAGAATTATGCAATACTTAGCCTTAGGATGTAGACGAAACAACAGAAGCAATAGTTTCGGGAACAAGGTTTCCGGGCACGACAACAACAAAATCAAAAAGTAAGAAGGTAAAATGGTACTCCATCTCTTTCAATTTATATGAACCTATTTTCTTTTTAGCCCGTGCCAAAAAAAATTACCCCTTTCCCTATTTGGAAATAATTTATCTTTATGCAATGATTTATAGCCACACAAAATATATATGCCTCATTTTATACCACAAGTTCAAAAGTCTTCTCTCTTTTCTTAAACTCCGTGCTCAGTCAAATGGGTTCACATAAATTGAATCGGAGGGAGTATTAAGCTTTGTATAGAATGTAGCATAAGTTTGCGAGAATATTCGTGTCGCTTACAATGATAACTAAGCCCACTGTTATAGCTATGTCTAGGGAAGGAGGTCCTAGGATTGTGCCCTTCTTTAATGTCAATTATGAGGGACATTGATGAAGATGTAACGGTGAACATAAATACTAAATTCTCTATAATGGATAATTGCTCTTAATGCCATGGAATATTCTCTATTAAATGATGCCGGGCGAAGAACATTTATCACATCTTTATGAATGTTATTCTTTCCGGTGACAAATGAAACAACTGCTTTCGGTCTCTAGTCATCCCTATTTTGGGTTCCACGTGTCCCTTTTTTGGACGGCCACGTGTCATAGCATATTTTACCCTATACACGGCTATTTTTGACGTCATAATAACAGTTTGGGAGGTGAGTCTCAAGAAAACAGAAAAGTCAACATCAAATCATTTTTAAGAGAATAGGAAACTCGTTTTCTTACCAGAGTTTTCTTAGAGGTTCGTGCAAGGAGAGAGAGAAATTAAAAAAGAGCAAAATGGAGGAAACAAAATCAAGTCGACGATAATCTACAATAACGAAAATACTTGTTTTGTTACTTTTGTGCACTAATTGCACAATACTTGTTCTTTCTTTTTTCCCCATCGTATTTGCACAATACACTCGATATGAAAAATAAACGATTAGAACAACTAAAAAGGAAGTGGTTAATTAATTTCTTCGTTTAATATCTTACATCTACTTCAAAATTAATGGTCAAATTAATCAACTTTTCATCTTAAATGGACACATATACAATTTTCCAATATGAAATTTATATGTATATAAAAACTGTGAAGAAATATCTTTCTTATTTCAAGTTGGCGCATAGTACAATTTTAATTTTAGTGAAATATCACTCTCTTTGACTCTTGGAGATCGGAAGAGCNTATCTTTCTTATTTCAAGTTGGCGCATAGTACAATTTTAATTTTAGTGAAATATCACTCTCTTTGACTCTTGGGGTGGGGGTGGGGGTGGGGGGAGGAGAATCCTAGAATACAGAAGTAGTAATAGGTCGTTATAGTGTCGTCATTTAAAATAATACTCCTATGATTTTAAGAAGAAAAATGTTCACAAAATAATAGAACAACGACAAATTAGAAACTGATATAGTTATTTTATTGCATGGTTTTGACCAATACACTCCATAGTATATATATATATAGATGAAGAGTTGTTTTATTCTGAAAAACATTAATATAATGAAGAGTTGTTTTATTAAAAGAGAAGCATTTTACCGGCCTAGATATAGGGAATACCTATATATGTAAATGGACTTTGACAATATTGTATCATCAATACATAGTCATTAGAAAATTCAATTATAAGTGGCGCGATATGTGATGTTTGCTTTATGAAAGTAAAGTTTAAATTATTATTTTAATATTTTCTTTTACCATCACTATTTTAAATATATAAACAATTATACTAATATCTTAAATTTTCCTTGCACCTTTAAATATGGTCAATAAATTGAAATTGAGGAAGTACTTTCTCATTAATGAAAGTTGACTTTAGTCCTCCCTGCGCTTCACTATAAATGATTTTTGGTTATTTTCACATATATTAAAAAAATTACTTTTTAACATTAATTAATATTGTAATTGATCATATTAACATTAATTTGTTAATTAGAAATACAGCAAATACCCCCTAGGCTTTTTACTCAAATGACAACTTTAAAAAAAATTAATTATTTCTTGATATTTGAAAAAATCAAATATTGTGTACTATAAAAAAAATCAAAAAATCAATTAAAGTGGACCGGACGAAACATGAAAAGAGTGGCTAATAAAGCTTGTTTTCCCAAATCCGTGACAGTAAACTTTTCTCATTTATTTCTAGAAACCTTATCCAATGTACATTTAATGTAACGCGTTTTACATTATTAATATCTTGTACTAAAAAATATGTAACAGCGAACTCTGGAATTTTTATTTGAGAGTTGTGGTCTAGTGTGCTTCCTTGCAATAGTTTAATCTTAATTTCCATCTGTCAATAATGTTGGCTCCTGTTGGAGGAATCCGACATGCTCCAATAATTAATAATTTGCAAGTTATTTATATTTCTTTCTTCAATATGTCATTCATGACCTAATCCAAGTTAAATTTCTCCATGATTTAACCAAAAAAATAAAATAAATTTCTCCATGATCGCCCACGGTTAAATTGTAAAGGACAAAATACAAAATCGATCCGTCGATCGAAACTAGTTGCATACACTAGCTAAAAAGTAAGAATATATATATATATATNGCGGGAAAAGTATTTACCTTCGTTGAACTCTTATATATCTAGTTTGAAATCTCATTCGTAAGGTGCATCTGGTCGGAGCGGATGTATAACCCAAATCATGGGGCACGTGAATCTATGATATTTCGATCAAATTAGGTATTTTATGCATGTATTTTCTAGAATTTGTCTAATATTATGTGTTGGCACCTATGTTTCAAAAAGACTAAATGGTGCACTTTATTGAATATTTGGTTATTCACCTAGAGAAACATGGATCGATTTCCACCTAATATATTTTTTCTACTTTTTTAGTGGTACACCCATGTTCAAGAAATTCTAAATCCGCCTATGCAACAGGTTCCTTCTTTTTCTAATATCTTTTTCTCAAAAACATTTCTGCAAGTTGGTTTTAGCATTCAAAATGCAAATGCACATCAATCTTCGTTGAAGCATGTTTATTTTGCTGTTTTGTGTTTTGGAAAGAAAGGGGAAAAAAGAAAGTTCTATCTAACAAACAGAGGGAAATAAACATAAATAAAAAACCAATTTTGTTCGTCTTAAATAAAGTTCAGTTTGCTTTTTTGCAACTCTTAGTTGCATATCCCATTACACAAGACTCAACAAAAGCAGCATCATGGACGAAATTAGAAGAGCAAAGAGTTTTGCACTGTCCCATAATTTTCCAGAGAAGGAAACAGGAGGAGAAGGTGGTGGTTTACTAGCTACAATTCTTTCTTTGGGACAATGATAATTACACCTACTTGGAGGTGCAACTCTGTAGACACCGGTGGTTGTCAGTATATGAATGTCCTTTTTATTATCTTCCCCTAAGGATGCAACGTATCCTATATCAGGCACAACATCCTCTGCAATTGATTCACAATGTATTGGAGAATCTTGCGCGCACCTGTAAGGGATTTTTGAACTTGTGAAACTTCTACTATTTTCAGGATTTTCAGTACCTGACCATATTCCATCTGGATACAAGTCTATGTACAAGTACCTGAAAGTTTGATTGGAAATAATGTTGAGCTGATGTACCGAATTATCAAGTTTGTTAGCAAAGAAAAAGATGCAAACCTTCCATACAGACAGGGATCAGTGTGAGACCTATAGAAGTAGCCACCAGTTATGGAAGCTGAACCAATTGCCTTATCAGCTTCAGAGTGGTTGTATCCCATGACTGGGAATATGAGACTATTGGAGCTAGACCAAGTGCTTTCTTTTGTGGCATTGCTTGTTTTGTAGGGAAAAGGGCCTTCGTAGATAGACCAACCATAGTTTCCACCCTTTGTTATCATATCAATCTCTTCGTACTGGTCCTATAATAAGATTCAGGAAAGGAGATAGTAACTTCAATAGGTGCAGACAACGCTGGATCACGCAAAAGGCTAATATTCTACTACTGTTTTTTGGAGTTTCAAATTAAGAACATGATCAGATTAACAAGTCAAGTCAATGCCTTCTTGTGAAGTAATTCTTTCCAACATTACTAAAGCTTTCAGAGACCTCAGCCTTCTCAATTAATTTAGAAAAATCTTGTCTTGCTTGAAGGCAACTGATTTCCAGCAGTTGTGTTTTCTTCTAAAGAATCCTGGAATAAAAATATTCACATGCATATCGATATAGCAGGCTGAAGACCTTGTTCCAAGAACTGATTGTATGTCCTACTCTGTTTGATATTGTTTGTTTGAATTTATCAAAATTTCCCTAAATTAACTATTATAATCATATAAGTATTGACTATGCTTATAAGAGATAGTGAACTTCCTAACCTGTCCAGCATCTCCACAAAGGAAGTAGGAAGGTCTTTCTGAATCGAAACTACAACGCCAAGGATTTCTAAGACCCAACGCCCAGATTTCAGGCGCTAATTGCTTGTCATTGTTGTACGGATTATCTCTTGGTATGGAGTAGTTTCCCCAAAGCCCTTGAATGTGCGCTTCATTTCCTGTCAGTCATAAAATGAGAAAATTGCAGAGTTCAGTTGTTACAGTGCAAGAAACATGCAGTTTGATCATCCAATCTGTTTCTACCTACTTACCTACCTACACAAAAGGATAAATGTTCTTTCAAGATGCTACGGGAACAGTATGTAGTGATTGCAAAAGTTCCATTGTTAAATTTTGTTTATATTTTTCGGAAATTAACAAGTCTACGCAATAAACATTTTAATTAACATACTTTGATCCACATCAATCCTCAAGATCTTTCCGAGCAATGATCTCTTGTTTTGTGCAAAATTGTAAGGATCCCCTCGATGTGTACCAATTCCAGTCATAACATACAAAAACCCATCCGCAGGGCCAAAGAGAATCTGCCCTCCATGAACTCCCCTATCCGGAAGTCCCATTGTAAATATCCTCCTCACTTCTAATGGACTAGCAACTTCTGCCTGTTAAGAAGATGATCAAATCAGGACATTAAGGGAACTTCAGTCAAGAAAATCCATAAATTCATATAGCGATAAGGCGAGTGTGGAGGTATACCATGGAAGGTGTTGATGTAGTACCATTTGCTGTGAACTCTGCTACCACAGTTTGATACTGACATGGCTCAATGCCACTCTCTACTGGAAGTGTTGCTGGATCACAATAAACTTCCGAGTTACATGAGCATCTGCCCGAACATCCTGAGTGTTGCAACTTATCACAATTGTATGAAACGAAGAAACGACCATTATTCACAAAATTAGGATGGAATTCCATTCCCAATAACCCATATTGGGTACCAAAAAGCACCTGATCAGTTATATCTAGAAAGGGCTTGGATTCATCAAGCTCCAATACTCCATTAGATTCACCCTCGGGAACATTGGCAATCCATACTTTACCTTGTTGATTCCACAAAAAGACACGGTTAGAGCCATCAGGATGTGGAGTCATGCCGATGTAAGATCCATTTCCAATTTTGTCAAGGCAAACACCATTTGGGGCTTGATTATGAGCTTCACGAATACCAAATGATTGAGCACCATTTATTAAGTCCTATAAGTTGATTTCAAGACAGGGAACAACTCAATGAGAGGAAATGTAGATATCTAAACTCAGCAAAGCATTAAGGACTCTTACTGAACAGAACTCGGGATCAGAGATATTCACTGCAGCAAATTCCTTCTCCAATCTTAAGTCATCTGCAAAGTCATATGAAACATTTTCATTAATTAGAAAGAAAAAAATCAGTTTCATATCTAATGTGCCCCTAGGTCCATGTCCAATAAGTAGAAAAGAAAAAAATGGAAGAGAAAATTAAGACAGGGAACTGCAACCTATACATAAAAAGAGTGATGATAGAGCCTTACTTAACTGATCAGTGCACAAAGTGTAGGATGATAAAAAACCATAGAGTAACGAGAGATTCAGGAGAAAAACAGTGCCCATAGTAAACATAGCACTAATGATAAAGGATGGAACTCCAATTTATAATGTATGCCTTATTATAGGAATGAAATTAAGAACACCACAGAAACACAACTCTTGGATGATATGTGATGCACAACATTAATTCCTATAAAGGCCTTTTGATCTGAATCTTATCTCTTCATATATAATGGCTCTACAAAAATAGTGTAAAATTTTAGGAAATGTAATTATATTACTACGTTAATCTCAGTGCACACGCCGATCTCAATGCTATTTTAATAACACAAATGCATGCATGGGGAGTCAAAACCTTTGCGTCCCGGTGTTTGTATCCCGTCGATCTAAGGTTGATTACCTACAGGTTTTTCTTTTGTTCGTACACCTTATTGCTAGAAAATTACAAATTGGAATACTCACAACAAAACAAAAAATAGAGAAAAGCACAACAACTAGTATTATATTGGCTCTGCTAATACATGGACCATGGTTAAGCAGGCTCAAGCAACTAAGCTTCATCACTTAACCAGGGCCCGTGTATTGGAACTAGGAAGCATTGTTATAAAAAACGTACTACTCCACTATAAAACAAAAAAGGGGGAATTTAAAGAAGAATCACTTATAAGACTCCTGATTTCGATTTTTAAGGTGATTTTGTAAGGAAGATATCAAAAGATTCAAACTGCAGCTATTTGGGGATAAAGTTAGTCTCTTACGAGCATGAATAGTACAACCTCACCACCAAGTAAAGCCCAAACGCAAGCAAGAACCAGATCAAACAAGAGGGTGAAAACCAAATTATAGCCGCTGACAAAATGAGAGTCATGCCAAGCCTAAAACAAGACGGCACCAGCCATATAATAAGTTTTACATTATTAGAATTTTAAACCAATTTAATATTATTTATTAAAAAAATCATCTATAAATTATTTAATAAGTGATTTAATTATATAAATATTTTTAGGCTGTTAGTAAAACGAATTAACTACCTCTTTCCACGTTTGCTTTCATATCACTAACCTATCTCGTTGTTTGAGATATTATACTTACCTCCTTATTTTGATTTTCTTGTAATAATACTAATTAATTTAAATGACAAAATTTTATAATATTCCTACCGTACCCTTTGTTGTGCAATTGTTGATACTACGTTCTTCAACATATAAAATGCCCCTTCAAATGTTCTCTCTATTACATATATAGTTGGTGCAAAGAATATCGAAAATCCTTACTAATAATAAGGCAAAATGGAAATAAATCTTTTTCTTTATGCTTGGATTTTAAATAAAGTGGAAACAACAATGGTTATAATAGACTTGAATGTAATATTATATGTAATAAGTATTACCTTAATCTCAGTTAATCAATGAAAAAGTTATTTGTTTTCATGAAGCACTGCTAACCTAACAATAAATCTCTAATGCCACATGTTTGCATAATCATAACAAAAGTAAGTTCAAGAGAAATTGAAAATTAGATTTTAATTCCCATCACCTAAGATGTGTTGCTTATGCCCCCTTTTTGTATTTAAAAAAAATAGAAAATAACGCATGCATCAGGAAAAATAAGTAAACATCCCTATACGGGAAAAAAAAATAAAAAATAAAAATAAAAACAGCACCAAGCGAAGAAATATAAAATTAAAAAATGTGTACATCAACCAGAGTTGCACCTTACAACTGTTTATGGCAATTGTTTAAGAAAATATGACAATTGTGTACGGTAAATCAATATTTTTTAAAGATTTTATATAGCATTATACTTGTTTACATTTTTTTCCTTTTCCTAATTTGAGAAATATCAAAGTACCAGGTGAACTTTTCTCAATACTGTTTTAAAGTTTTTCTTGATAATTTTATCATATAATATTATATCTTACAATTTAAAATAGTATTCTTGACCATAAATTTGTTTCAAGAATATCAATTAATAATATTTTTTAAAATTTAAGCAAATAGAATCCAACAAATAGATTCTCCTTTTAATAATATTTAAATACTCTCCTTTTATTATAATATAGATATAGATTATAACTTTGAAACCAATAACCTATGACCAAATAGCAATGAGCAAATAACTATATCTTAGGTTTGATATATTTTACCGCAAACACATGCGTGAATTTATATTACATGTTAGTAACTTTTCAATTTAAAATAGAATAAGTTTCAGAATAATTAATTTCTAATATATAGAAATTATTATTTCCTTAAAACAATAGAATTTTTTTACTTTTTAGTTCATTATTACTTGTCATTATTGCATTATTCATTATTTAGTATTTTTACATTTTTATGTGATTTTTTATTAGTTTACTATTTGATAAAATATCCTTTCTTAATATAAAAAGTACAATATATATTTTAAATTACTACATAAGAATTTAAATTATATTTTTATATTATTTATTGGAATCATTATTTATGTTTTGTTTTTAGTTTTATATATTATAATATTTTTAGTTACATGATCTTATCCATATATCAAGACCATATGAATTACTGTTCAAAAACTTTCCCATCTCAAAAAATAAATTAGTCTTATATCTCTACATTGAAGTTATTTTTTTCCTTTTTTATAATAACTTTCTTAAAAATATATAGATATTTATTTTTTGTTAATTCAAATTCAAAATAGTAACTAATTATTAACTAACATAACTTATTTAATCCTAAATGTCTTTCTCCTATGTTTCCACTTATTATAAACTTACTTGCTTTTAATAATATATAAATATATAGATATAAATAGATATAGATTGGTGCTTCGTACTTGGGTTAGGCCAAAATTGCTTTACTTGCATCTTAAGTTACCAAAAATTTCCTTAATTTCAAAACTTTCCGGACAATTTATGAAATTTGAGATTCATATTTCTACGCTAACCCTTACCCTGCTTCTCAAGTTACCATTTTATTTCCTTATTTCAAAATTTTCCGAAAGAACTTAGGAAAATTGAGAATCCTATTTTCTACACAAACTAGGCTTTCCTCAAAGTCTATAAAAGCGTTACACGGCTTGAACAACTGATCACCATCTTCTCTTGCATTCTTTTTGGCTTACTAAATTGCTCTCTGTATTATCGCCCCAACAGAAATTGAAGATGGTAAATCTACAAACTTCTGTTGAATATAGAGTTATAACAGACGATTCTATCATTCCAAGGACGAAGAACAGCAACAACCCTTCTTCTGAGACGTTTTTCATGATCCAAGTTCGGGTTCAACAATTCCTTAAGTATCTGCAAGAGGAAGGGGATTCTATAATGGAGGCACCAGACAGTCCACTAACTGTCAAATCTTTCTACTTGCCGAGTGACGCTGTGATTCACGACGATGATAGCATTTACGAAATACTATGCTCTGTTGGTGTGCCGCTTTATTCAATGGTGCCCATCATCCGACGCGTCTCTTCCTTTGCTCGGAACCTGATGTCTCAACCTACCAATTTCGGCCGCCCTCTGATTCCTATTGTTCTGGGCATTGCGGTTATTACTTGGGATCCCACAGACGCTGTGACGGCGCACCAGAGGAAATTTGGTGAGATTGAAGAAGAGCCCACGGCTAAACGCCAAAGTAAAGATGAACGCCGATACAGGGTTTGCCTTACACCAGTTTTAGGTATAAGGTATAAGGAGGAGAGAAAGCTGTCTAATTTTTGATTATTTTTTAGTTTCAGCCAATATTTTTGTAGACCGTGATTAAGCCAAATAATATGGTTTTTCATTACCTCCTATAGCACTTAGCAGCTGGATGTAATTAATTACTCCTTTTAGGTATTTCAATTTTCCAGTTCATCTTTATACATCTCTTCGATCATAAATTAGTGCCATAAGAAGATTCTTTAAGTTCCAGATTTGTCAATTTATTAGCTGTACAATTACTTTGGTTATGAGGATAAATCTTTTTCAAGCATAAACCACTAGCTAAGGTTAATTTTTTATGCTTTGGCAAAATTATTAGTTTGACAGTTGTTTATTATAGCTCAAACATGACAACTCCATTAAAACTACGCTAGGCCCAAAAGAACAGACAACATATTTTAACAATATATGAATCAAACTGCGCGAATACTATGTAGTATAATCTTTCCTGAAATATCTAATATACTAATCATGGACATTTTCTTTAAATGCTTGGTTTTCTATAGTTCAGGACTTGTAGACACACTTGCTTTTATATGCTTAATTAATTATTTTCTATCACCCAATTCCTAGTCAATGAAGCTAAAAGATGAGGGGTCACTCTATGGCAAGTGAAGTTTGGTGAAAGTACCTCCACCCACGACCGTTAGGTCATGGGTTCGAGTCACGCTGAAAAGGAAGTGTAGAAACACTATAGATCCTCCTAATTAGGGAGAGGTTAAAAAAAAAAAAATTACAACATGCCACTACTTCTCCAATTGTAACTTTCAATTTGCTAAATCACAAATATAATTTAAAAAAAAAAACATAATTTTACATGACTACTCTAATTTGAAATGCACCTAAGAGAAGAGCTACAAGATAAACAAAAACTCACATTCAAATGAGACACAACTTCTTTGGTTCTTTCTGTTTCACAATGAACTATTTGGAGATGGAAGAGAGAGCAAGCCACCATCCAGCACCAAGTCATGCCCACTCACAAATGCAGAATCATCTGAAGCTAGAAACAGAACTGCATCCGCCAAGTGCTTCACCGTTAGCGTAATTCCCTTCAAACAAGTCAAGTTCCCATACATTTTCAAAACCTTCAATGATGTCTCCTGCTCCGCACTCAACATAATTGGCGTCATTACTGCAGATGGCGAAACACTATTCACCCTTATTCCATATTCACCTAATTGCCTTGAAGCTGATTTCACTAGTCCTAAAACAGCGTGTTTCGACATTACATAATCCGTACGCCATGGTCCTGCCCTGCTTGCCGCAATACTGGCTGTACAAATAATGCTCCCTCTAACGCGCTGCTCCACCATGGCACGTGCCGCGTGCTTCACACACGCCGCCATGCCTCGTGCGTTGACTCTTAACACACGGTCGA